CTTAGCTAAAACACAAATAGGACCCCTTCTGTGGGAAAATTCGAACGAACGGTGGACCCTGCTTCCCAATGGATCAAGCTGGGAGGGGAAGGTTTCTTCTTGGAACTGAAAAGAGGAAGGCAAACGAGAAGGAAATAAATTTGAGGATGTTTATTTTGTAATACTTTTATTTTATTTCCAGTATTAAATACTTGGAACTTTCGAAAATGATCTATTTTTACGACCACCTCGCTAAAAACGACCCCCTCGCTTCATTTTTATTAAAAAATCTCTTCAGTTTTACCTAAAAAATATTTCAAAAATTATTTGATGTTATATTACGCTAGCTTAGGTCCCAAATAAAAAATAAATTTGAAAGGGAAAATCGCCAGTTAAAATCCAAAACAGCTAGCGAAACCGGAAACAATTCATCAATCATAAATTGAAATCGATTTTCCAGAAGTACTGGCAGTCGTAGAGTTCAACGAACGTGCATAATTGTCATAAATGGGCATGTGCATTACACGGGGGCCCGCTTTCCGTCGCGTTGAAATAGGCTTTCTCCATAAAAAACTGACTAGGCAAAACTATCGATCAAATAGGATTTGTGAAAAATATGTACTACCCGAATTTGAACTGTGACTATCACCAAAAAAGTGCAAATTTCAACCAGTTGGTTCTGCCGCGACGATGCGGCTGATAAGCCCTGATAAGATCAACAATCGACCGAAGCCGTCACCCCACCCCGAATGGCGCCCGTCCGCCTCAACTCACCAACTAAGTTATGGTGCACAATTCCTTGTATGTGATGCTGCAATTGTTGCAGTTGTTGATGATGAGCCAGCTGTTGAACGAGCTCCGCCGACGTAATCAGTGGAAAATTTGCTGAAACAGATGCGTGGATCAATCAATAATCGATTAGACTATTGATTAGTGGATTATGGTGGTCGCCGACAAACCTTGTTGGATCAGCTGCTGTTGCCGGGCAAGAAGTGCGTGCGCCGTTGCCAGATCGTACAGCTCACAAGTAGCTGACGAACTACAGCCCGACGACGAACTTGAGCCTGAAATCATTCGCTCAATAGAAAATATGCAAATTGATCGGCGATGGATCAAACGCCACGAAATCCCTAGTTTTAAAAGTCAATCAACAATGTCGGAGGTATTCTTCTTCATTGAATTGAATTGATTTCGTGATGTGATTGTGATTATAACTTATCAAATGATAAAAATAATGAAATGAGGAAGGAATGAAGGGATGAAAGAATGAAGGGAGGAAAAAATGAAAGCATGACAGACAAGCGCGATGAAAAGGCGGAAATAGGCGATTTGAGTTCCGCGGTATAAAAAGCTTGGCCGATCAGGCATTTATCCACCACCATAAAAGGGCAACTATAAAAATAGACCGGTATTGATTCAACCACTTATTTTATGAGCTTATCGATCGATATCGATCGTTATCTTGCTTGGCAACAAAACAGGTCATTTTTTGGGGAGTTTCAGTCAACCCACCCTTTCAAGTGTACTGTAGTAAATATGTGATATTTCACATCGGTAATTGATAGTATAATTATTACAAAGATTTTTCACCACCTAACAGATTTCACAGAAACAATTACTACGAATAATTATTAGTGATATTTTGTGATATCTATCCGAAATATCACTAAATATCACCAATATAAATGGACGCCCTTCGTCCTTTTTTGTGTATATACATACTTTTGTCGATTACAATTAGTTTACAAGTAATAATTTTATGTTTTTTTTCGTTCTGTAGGTTCGGAAACTTGTAAGAGCAGTTTTAGACCATTAAAAATGCTAGGGAGAAAGAAGAATTGAGGTGGAATTCATTTATTAATTTCATTCGCCAATTGGCATTTCAGACGTGACAATTAAATACACATAGTGAATGAATAATTAAAGTAATAAATAAACAAATAAATAAATAAATAAATAAATAAATAAATAAATAAATAAATAAATAAATAAATAAATAAATAAATAAATAAATAAATAAATAAATAAATAAATAAATAAATAAATAAATAAATAAATAAATAACGGTTCTCCGACGATTTGATGCGTTATCGAACAGAGATTTACAAGGTTCTCATCGCTATATTTTTCATAATTGCTATTAAAATGATGAAAAATTTAGTGAAAGGAGGATAGAGGAAGGTTTTCCCTTTCTGGGCAAGTACAGCACTATTAAAGTATAAATATCGATTGAAATTGCAGTGATATTGATTCGAAAATTCGATTCTCAAGGGCTTTCAGATATCGACGCAACACAACAAATAAAGTCATGGATCGCAAAGTATTTTCTGAATTTCCCGTTCGAGGTGGCTACGTAA